TAGGGAATTTTTAAGGGAGGCTCCTTGGTGCTCTGAGAAGGAGACAGGGTGGATGGAGCAATAGAAGGTGAGGGGACTTGATCCAAGGACTTCCAAAGGGGGAGTGAACTGAACTGTAGAAGTGAGGAACTGTTTGTTTCTCTGCCTGTCTGCTACACTGTAAGATGCAAATGCTTATGTTTGTATTTAAAGCAATCCTCTTGCTTTGCTGTCTCTGAAGGGAGGTGTGAAGAAGAGACCTTATGGGTTTGTGGGTCCCAGGGAGCTGCTCCAGCTGGGCTGCTCCCAAATTTACCCTCCCCTCCATCCATTCTGCTTGGTGGGATGTGCAAGTCCCATGGTGCTGAGCAGGCACTGCTTGTCACCAGGTGCTGCTGTAGCACAGCACAGTGTCACTCAGGTGGCTCTCAGGTACCTCCCTGGCTGCAGTTTAAGCCAAAATAAGAGGAAGAAACTCTTTCCTGTGAAAGCTGCATCCCAGCCCTGTGCCTGTGTCTGTGGTTTGTTGGGCTTTGGTGTTGTGCTTAGCCCAGGTGTGAGGAATGCACTCAGGGGTTTACTGTATTGTGATTCTGGGGTTTAAAATGCTAAGGTTTCAGCAGTGTCGCTGGTCTCATGCAGTTGCTCCTGCCTCTATGTCAGTGGCTTGGCAGGATATGTTTGATGCCATCAGATAACAACCAGTCTGGATTTCTTTGGACTCCCCTTGGACTTGGTCTGTCCCCTTGGCTGAGCGAGGGCTGCAAGAAGATGAAGCCCTTGGGGTGAGCTCCTGCCCTGTGGGACCAGAGGGTGCCCTGGGACTCACCTGCAATGCCCTGCTGCCCTTTGATCCCTCTTGTAGTCCCCCTGCAGCCCCAGCATTTCCCCCTCTACCCCAGAGGTCTCTGATCAGAAGCACTCAAACCTGATTTAGGCTCCTGTCTCACATTTCTTAGAATCACAGAATGGTTTGAGTTGGAAGGACCTTAAAGATCATTTTATTCCACCCCCTGCCATGGGCATGGACACCTTCCACTAACCCAGGGTGCTCCAAGCCCCATCCAACCTTGCCCGGGACCACCCCAG